CCGGTTTTTTATCCACATTGGCGGCGTTATCCAACAAGCAACGCCGATCCAACGCCGGCAACCAAAACCGGGCACATTCCCGGCGCACCGTCGGAAATTCCCCGTTGAACTTGACCACCACAGCCGCGTGCACCCTTGATCCTTGCCCCCCTCCCTATCCCGTTTCCGCTCCTTTGCTCCCTACACGGCCTTCAACGCCCCCAAACAACACCTCCATCCCCTTCTCGCACACAAGCGGATCCGACATCCCCCGCAGCGTCGGCCGTGCGCCGATCGAGCTGACGATGATATCCACCCCGCTGCCGCCGGATGAGGTAGTGGAGGGGTGGGTCAGGCAGGCGCGCAGGTCGGAGGGGTTGTGCGCGTTGCCGGTGATGATGTGCAGGTTGGGCGGGAGGGTGGTAGTGGTGGTGGTGTTGTTGTTTTTGGTGGTGGTGTTGGTGAGCTGGGCGGTGAGGTTGGCAGGGGTCCGGCAGAGGGCGATGCAGGTGTGGCCGGCGGCGAGGGAGCGGCGGAGCGCGGAGAGGCCGACGCCGCCGGTGGCGCCAAGGAAGAGGATTGTTTTTTGGGTGGTCATGATGTTTGTGGGTGTGGATGTTGGTGTTGGTGTTGTGTTGGTTGCAGTGTGGTGATGGGAGGGTTGTGGTATGGAACTATGGATCGTGCCGTATGGGTTTCAACTGCGGTTACGTGGCTGTTTTTATCGTGATGTTGGCTATGCTCGTACTGCCGGTGATGCCGTTTCTATTTTGAGATATATCGTTTCTGTTGCTGTACTCCAGTAAATGCTGTCCTCCAAAGTGAAACTGACACCCTCCCGGATGGGGGATGAAGCCCCTTTTTAAGGCCATCATCGGCGTCGTCGGCGGTGACGCGGACCGGAGCAACATTCAAAGAAATATGTCCATTTCCCACAACCAGAGCCTCGAGGGCGGGCTATGTCGTCAAATCTGGCCGAGTTCGACCTCCGAATCTTTGAATCTTCGGCAGTTTGCCAAGGAGTTCCTCCGCCTGTCCCCGGCCCTCCCCACCGTGGCTTTTTCAAGACATGGCTATTGGACGCCATGGTCTTTCCGGGGCCGACTTGGCAGACGCCACAGGACCAAAAGGATCTGCGGGACACGCACGCAATCGATCTTGCCTCGCCCGTCTCGGGGCAGGGGTTGCCCGGGTCCCCCAAGATCCCCTGCAGTGCCACGAGTGCCTGCGTGGTCTTGGTCTCCTGAACCTCCCCTAACCCTCAGACTTCAAAACCAAGCCCCCTGGTCCCTTTTGGGATGGTCCATTCTGCCACACGAGTCTCGCTTCTCCGCGTGTTTTTTTTTTGGCGGCGAGCGGCAGGGCTTCCGCGAGTGGGCATTTCCTGCATTCGACCGTGTTTGTCCCCAGTCAAATCTTCCCTAGCCACTGTGATTCGCCGCCCGGAATCCTCACGCGGAGCCCTTCAGAGACCAACAGCACCCATCCTGGACCTCTCAGGACTCCAGAACCGGCCGTCCAGCCCTATGCAGGAAAGTGGATTGCCTGTTTGGCCTTCCCGCAGAAAAACCCTTGCAGCCTTCGACTCCACGCCATCGAGCCGAAGAGAGGGGGTCGAGGGGTTCGAGGTTTGAGGGGGTGATGGCTATTACCTGAGTTAGCGTGGGATGCGCGTGGCCCTGACGCCCTTAGTCATGTCCAACTTGCCCGAGGTCATGTCCAAATGCGCCCGTCTCCCCGCGCGTGTGCTCTGGCCTCCCTCCCCGGTTCATTCCCTTCCCTGCAGAGAACATCCGTCTCACCAACTGAACCTGGCAAGCCTCCCTGCTGCGTGTTGGACTCAGGTTGGTTCGTTGGCAACCACGCTCGGTTCCGGCAGCTTGGGAGTGCGATGCTGTCCATGCCGATGCTCATGCCGCTGCCCATGTCCGATAAGATGAGTCTGCGGCACTGTGGCACCAATCTTTCCCCGCCAATCAACCCACGGATCCCCTCGGCAAGTGAGGTGGGTCATGAGGCTATGCTCGGGAAGCCGTGGCACTCGAGATAACGGCCCACGCAGGTGTGGAAGCCACGGATGCGCAATGCTCGCCCGGTTCGGGAGTCGGGGACCCTGGAATGGACACTTTGGACGTTTGTCGAGTCAAAGTTTGGCCAACCGACATGCCGACGAAGTGCGGTGTCTTAGCCCTTGGAAACTGACCATTCGAGAGAAACTTTCTGATTTGGAATACGAGTGGGAGTACTAATAGTACACTAGACACGGACGACTATGTACGGCCAACGGTGCCCGACTGCACGCATCACGCCATCCTTGCGTGAGTGCAGATGCTATTGCGGATACTAATAACAGTTGCGATGGCTGATCATAATGGAAGACCATTTTTTAGACTCCTCAGCCAAAGCCACCATCCTATTCTTGTCGTTACTTCCCATTCCCCTCCACTCCCCTCCCCCCTTCCCCCCCTACATACGGTCCACGGGTGGTTGGATCGATAGTACGGCCGGCAGTGCTATCGCTTGCATGAGGCTAACCTCGCAGTCTCGAACCCCAAATCACACCTCCAAATAGTCCTCGTGCCAATCACCATGCGTTATTGTCGCGCTGGGGAAATTGCCAATTTTGATCACGCTCATGTGTACCACTCCCACGGGTCCCAGCTATGTCCGTATAATAGACTTACGCCCTTACGTGGGGGGATAAAACACCCGGCCATACCGTGACCGTCGGACGCTGTTGGGGGCTTCGTTTGTACGACTTCAGCTCACCACACCTGCGCCAAGGTTTTCTTTTCTCTGCCCGCGTCTTCCTTGCGCCGCAGTCATGCAGGTAACAAACAACCATGACGGCCTCTCTTCTCACCTTTGGACTTCAAAACTACAGGACTCCTCCGAAAACACGCGGCTGCGGTCACAGCAACGGTGTCAACTTGCATACCTCGCAGCAACCTCTAGAAAGTCAACCACATAATAATGTCGGTCACCGTGCTCAGCTCGCAGCCGCGGGTATTATATCATTCGCTTACATGGCCGGAACCACCATTCTTACCATTCCCCAGCCTTGCCTCCGCCACGCTCCGGAACCTCAGCGCCCTTGAAGGGACCCAAACCGCCCACAAGCACACACCACGAAGCGGCAGCATGAGACTAACACGCCCCTCCGAAACCCGCAGGTTCGGGTTGCTGCAAATAGCCGGGGAGGTCCACCACATCCCCGAGCCCCTTGCGGACGCCGGCGGCGAGGCCAAGACGGAGTATTACTCGGGGGGCACGCTCGACGCCATCCTGTCCGAGATGGTGATCGTGGTGCCCTGCAAGGACGAGGAGGTGTCGGTGATCCGGGGCGTCATCTCGGCCATCCCGGCCCCGTGCCTGGTCATCCTGGTCTCCAATTGCCAGCGGGGGGGCGACGCCGACGAGTACGCCCAGCAGGTGGCCATGGTCAAGGCGTTTGGCGGCGAGCGGAGGCTGCTGCTGGCCATCCACCAGAAGGACGCCGCCGCCGCCGCCGCCTTCAAGGAGGCCGGCATGCCCGACCTGTGCGGGGCCGACGGGACAATACGCGACGGCAAGGGGGAGGGCATCATCCTCGGCGTGGCCCTGGCCGCGGCCTTGTGTCCGGGGCGTCGTTATGTTGGGTTTGTCGACGCGGACAACTTCCGGGCCGGGTCGGTGAATGAGTACTGCCTGGCTTTTGCGGCGGGGTTTGCCATGTGTCCTTCGTCCCGCGATCGAGAGGATACCATGGTTCGGTTGAAGTGGGCTTCCAAGCCGAAACTGCGCGATAATGGGCGTGTTGAGCTTGTGAAGGAGGGAAGGTGCTCCAGGATCGTCAACTCCTGGTTGAATAAACTGTTTGCTTCGGGCGACAAGCATGGGACCGAGGCTAGAAACACCAATTTTATCACGACGGGTAACGCCGGCGAACATGCCATGACAATGGGCCTTGCTCTGAAGCTGAGGATGGCGGCTGGGTACGCCATCGAGCCGTATCACTTTGTTGACTTGCTGGAGCGAGCTCATTTGTCTGTTTCACGAGTCACTCAGGGGAGTACGTGCTATGCTAAGAGCCAG